TAAATTGGAGGTTAATTTTATAAAGGGTATTCTGGTCTTTTAACCATACACCACTAACTCCGTTTGGGCTGCCATGGGAAATTTGAAGGTTTAGGGGGTTTTACGGAACACCCAAAAGTTCATGCGTGTTTTTCTTGAACTTTGTCAAAGTTAGCGGAGTTTTCTGCAAAAACCTCAAAGTGCAGGTGGTTTCTGAAAATTCCCCTTGAAATGGTGCAGTCGCATACACGCATGCTAGCAAATGCATGTACAAGCACATGTACGCTCATCCAAATTGAGATGGGACTAAATATGAACCTCCTTAATGTCAGATCTTGAATTACAAGTAACTCGTGCTTTAGGTTTCACCTCTTTACTATTATGAAGCTGCATGCTTGCTCGCTCGCAATTGCATGTACAAAGGCATGTATGCTCATTAAAAGTGAACTGGGCCTAAATTTGCACATCCTGAATGTCAGATTTTCTAATTATAAATAACTAAAGCTTTGATTTTCACCTCTTTAAAATTATGAAATGGCATGCACGCATGCACGGTAGCAAAGGCATTGTATAAAAGCGTGGCCGCTTATTTAAAACTCAAAAGTAAACTTGGACCAGTCTGCACCTCTTTAATGTCAGAACCAATTATAAATAACTCATGCTTTATGTTTCACCTCTCTAGTGGTAGAATTTATTTAATTATGAAGAACTCATGTTATAACCAAATTAGTTGCTCAAACCAGCAATGCATGCACTCTTCATTCGCATCCTGCGAGGGGACCAGTGACTTTATTGGCCATATAATGTTTCCCTTGTTAGGAAGAAGAAATAAGAAAAATTAATAAATCAAGTTATATAATTGGGACAAGTCTTTGTAGTTAAGTTTATGGCTGCAAGTCCAACTAGTTTTCACAAAGATCATATAAGGGCACAGGGGTAACGAAATAAATTAAGGATTGTTTCTGAAACAAAAATTCCTAAATCCCTCGGAATGAGATTAGTGTTTCCAAATGAAATAAAGGATCTAAGTTTCTTTAATCATCCATTTTCTTTGAATAATCTGCACCCGTGCACGTTAGGGTGCACTAAAATATTCGTAGCCGAGGAAACATCTGTATCCACATCCGTTATGATACGAATATGATTACTAAAATCTATGACTGATAGGATATGGTTACAGATATTGTTATATAATGAAATATTTGATACTGTATCCGTATCCAAAATATCCGATTATACATTAATCACGTTATGTAATGAAATATCCGGAACCGTATCCGTATCCAAAATATGGTCATACTATTGCAACAGTTTTAAATAGGGATGCTAAACCATATCCATATCCAAGAAAATATATGTAACTGTATCCTTTAGGATATACAGGATATGTATATGGTTACTCAAATAGATAGGGTATGGTTACAAATATGATTTTGTAGTGAAATATCAGGATCCATATACGAAAAATCTGAATAGACATTAGTCATGCTGTAGATAAGTTGTCTAATCTTAGCCTTTTAGATATAACGAACATAGTAATGAATTCTTTTGTATCACATGAACTGTAATTTTTACAATATTGTTTAGTTTTCCCATATGTAGTTTTTATCCGCATGCATATCATCTTATTAGTCCGCATATATATTTGTATCCGTATCTAGTTTTAGTGGATATGGACATGTATTTTCCTTATTGAGGTATATCTATATATGTATCTGTGATAGGTAAGGGGATATGAATATGGTAAGTACTATATCCGAGCCGAATCTGGACCGAATGCACCCCTAGTTTTAATCCTTAAATTAATGGATTTGAGATTAATTTTGATAATTAAGACATTTAATCTTAGTTTTTCAGATATAATGACATACTAATGAACTCTCTCGTACCATATGAACCATATTTTTTCAATATTATCTAGTTTTCTCATATCCATTACGTATCCGCATGTATACTCGTCAATATATCCGGATGCATATTCGTATCTAATTTTAGCGGATATGGATAGGAATTTTCCTTAACAACGCATATCCATATCCATATCTATATCCATGACTACAGATACTGGTAAGTATCATATCCGAGCTGTATCCAGACCATATGCACCCCTACTTGCATGTCTTCTAATGATTTCAAGGAAACAAAGTTGGTTTATGAACAAAAACAACTTGGGAGGTGCCATAAAGTCAAGACCAGAAAAAGAAAACATGATTCTATTATGGATACCAGTCATCCTGGAAAGTCCAGGGAAAATGTGTCCAAAGATCTCAAATTGGGGGAAAAAGTTTGCAGTCAAAAAGAAAGAGTACTCATGTGAGAAGCTAGTGGGCTTGAAACAATCTGTGTGGGTTTACGCCTGTGCAGTCTTTTAGGTGACCTAAACCACAACATACACACATCAAATGCCTAGAGAAGTTGTAGATCCAGGGAAAAATAAATAAAAGAGTAAACTTTCAAATTGATCACAATGAATTTGGAAATTTTGAGGTAAGTATCATCAAGCTTCCAAAGTGGTCAACTCATGGACCTGGAACGCCGGTCATACTTTCTTATATTTTCTGACGCACACTTAAAACTTCACAGTACATTCCAGCCAACTAAAGAGTAGCTCACCTAAGTCACTATTCAGGAAATAATAGTGGTAATGCAATTGTCTTTCAAATAAAATTGCAGCCAACGAACTTTTAGCACCACAACTTTTATGAGTTTTTTATGAAACTTTTATGAGCTTTAATGTCCCATTTGCTTTTTTCTCCCCCTTTTTTTTCTACAGGTTCTTGAGGTAGTATAACAATTTAGGGTTTTAGTTCATATTGTATCTATGTCACCAAGGGTTCCAATAAAAACTCTTAAGGACCAATGAGAACTTCCCATTATTAAAATCTAGAATAGCTAAGTCTCCAAAGTACATAGGTTCTTGATTATAGTTCATGTTATTGCATCTTAGTCACCCAAAGGATTCGAATAAAAACTCTTAACTGATGAGAACTTTTCATTATTAGAAACCTAGAATAACAAAGTCTCCAAAGTACACCCACACCAAGGTACTGAACATGCTGAGAGGAGAACCCACACTTCTTGAAGATGCAGACACCCAATGAACAATTGATTTCTTTCTCATAAAAAAATTAGATAATGGAAGTTTTTTTTTGTTAATTAATTAGCTAATGGAAATTGTGGATCACATTGTCCCAAGAGAAGTATTAAGCAGGTCAGGTTACTTTTGAGAAGTGCAACAAGCTAGATCTTGTTATCAACTTAGTTGAATTGATCATTCATCCTTATGCAAAACGATGAGCATCTAAGACTCGGATATTAAAGATCCCAAACTTGGACAAAACATGTTAGAGAAAGGACTTGCACTTCCCTGGAACAAAACTCCCTATTATCCCCAGGCAAGAAGTCAGCATAAAATATGAACCAAGGATCGAAATCTTGCCATCAATAGTTATGGCCAATGTTCTATGGTACCGCTATTGGGAGTTTCAGTGATTTCACTGTTGTAAAATTTCTCCCAAATAGTGAAAGATCTGCAGCAACCCGTGGACGTAGGCAATTTTGTGCCGAACCACGTAAATCTTGCGTGTGGAGATACAATACTAACAGGCTATGTAGATGCTGATCTAGCAGGAAATGTTGATATCAGAAAGAGCACTACAGGGTATGTATATACTCTAGGAGGTACTGCAGTGAGTTGGGCTTCTCAACTGCAGAAGATAGTTGCTCTCTCCACAACTGAAGCAGAATATGTCGCTGTTACAGAAGCCAGCAAGGAAATGGTGTGGCTTCAAAATTTCTTGGATGAATTAGGCAAGAAACAAGAAGACAATGTCTTATACTGCGACAGTCAAAGTGCTATTCATCTAGCGAAGAATCCGTCTTTTCATTCCAGAACGAAGCACATACAGATGCGGTATCATTTTATCCGGTCACTTCTGGAAGATGGAATTTTGAAGCTTGAAAAGATCAGTGGAGCTCAAAATCCGGCAGACATGCTGACAAAGACGGTGACTACTGACAAACTGAAGCTGTGTTCAGCTTCAGTTGGCCTGCAATAGTATCAAGACCGGGAAGAGCTGCTGCATAGATCGAGGTGTGAAGACAGATTGAAACCAGTCTTCAAGTGGGAGATTGTTAGTCAAACTTCTCATGCCACCGAAAGAGCCTTTGGCTCTTTCAGGCTTTGTCAAAATTCTCATGCCACCGGAAAATCAGAAGAGGATAGGTGAGCGGGTCCCAGAGCAAGAAAAAATTGTACGTGGGCCCCACCGCGGGCCCCACCACTAATAAAATATTAGTGCATAGTGTTTTTCCAAACACTATAAATAGGTCCCCAATCTCTTAAGGAAAACTCATCCCAGAAACAACTCCTCTTATAGAAGAACAAGAGAGAGAAAAGAGAGGCTTAGAGAAAAGTCTTTGTGAGAGAAAATTATGAGCAATTTTCAGAGTGGGATTGAGTTGTGAGAAAAATTGAGAGTGTTGTAAAATTTCTCCCAAATAGTGAAAGATCTGCAGCAGCCCGTGGACGTAGGCAATTTTGTGCCGAACCACGTAAATCTTGTGTGTCCCTCAATTTTGCGCATTTTATTTTTCGCTTTCTCTCAAATCTGGCAATAGGGGAATCAGGGTAATTTCCCAACACATAAGTGTCTTAAACAGGTCAGTGATACTAGTTGCATGCATATAGTGGAGAAGTCAAATTTAATGTGAAGACAAGACACAGAAAAATAAAGTCTGTAGGAAATTGCGGAAATAGTGAAATCAAAGGCAAAATGAGTCCCAAATGGAGTTTAAAATGGGTGTAGTTAATTCTAAAACCAATTCAACATACTGAATTTATTCAGGATAAAGAATTTTTTTGAGCTGACGAAAAATAATTAGAAATAGAAGGAAAAAATAATTTAATTAAGTATCTAAGTTTTGACTCCTCTATTTTGAAGTTTCAAATAATTAGAAATAGAAAACGCGATATTTGGTAATCATTTTTTTCTTCTTATGCTGTATGCAACGGGTTGAAGACATCATGAATGCGACCGACGCCTCTTTGCTTCGCGAAACTGGAATGGATGTCAATAGCATTCTGAATAGTGGTTTGTTTTCAGAGGGCATGTCGAATGATACGGGAAATGAAGACAACTGTGAGTTTAGATATATGTTTTATTTTTCGTGTAAATTTTTGAGAGTTCTGATTTGTTTCATAATATGGTATATAGATACACGAGGAGAAGATGGAAGTGGTTCTGGTTATCCTTATCAGAGGTTTGGGTAGAAATGCTCTCAAGGTACAGATTTTAAAGATTGGTCTTTGTATACACTAAATTCTTTTTCCTGAATTATTTTTAGACCCGGCCACTTTAAAAAAATATTCTTCACTCCATCATTAGTTTTGATTGCACTTTCTGTATTTCAACAGTTCAGTGTTTTGTAATAGTTTTGTGTAATTTCTATATTTATGTTTAAGTTGCTATATTTTGGGATAACGTTCTATATTTTCTTGTAGAACACCGTGTACGAAACTAATAGTGACCTTATTATTTTATTTTTCCTAAAGGTTTGCTGAAGAACCGAGCAGCGCAAGGGGCACATTCATGCACAAGCAAATTCAAGCATATGTGTTTTTGTTGCCTTTTCTTGTAATTTTGTAGATATCTTTTCTTTTTTGTAGTTTTGGATTTTTCCGGATTAATTTTGTTGCCTTTTCTTGTAATTTTGTAGATATCTTTTCTTTTTTGTAGTTTTGGATTTTTCCGGATTAATTTGTAAATAGCTCTGATTTTTAGAACATGAAAAAAATTTGACACCCTGCTTTAACAAAGGTGTTTGCTGCAAAAATGCTATTACGACTGGTGGCAATCTGAGGTTTTCATTTGATCAAATGAGTATTTTCTGATAGCATATTTACCTGAAGGAAAAACTGTGAAGCACAGACAGATTTTATCAGTTGTAAATAAAATAAAATAAAAGACTCAGATAAAGGGTTTTCTGGTATACTCATCATACTTTTATGCATTTTTTTTTAATTTTTAAGCATAATGAAATTGAGTATGGAGGATGATCTTATGATCAGAGCATATCCTTGCGGGAAAAAATCATAAGAGTGAACTATTATAAGTTAAAACCTTGAATCAAGAATCCTACGAGATACATAATGCTGTTACACTGAGAGTGATCTATTAAATGTCAGTTTCTGGACTTAGCCAACAAAAGGAGGAGGTGGGGAATTTTTTTTTTTGGGTGTGCGTGAATTAAAATTTGGTTGATCGAGTTAGGTGGGATCATAGGGACATCACTTGTGCAACGCAACACGTACAATTGGCCTTGCTAATTAAACCCTTTGACACTACTAAACACCCAATTATCATTAGTATTAATCAATTAGTGGTTGACGAGATTGTTAGCTACCTCGGAGAAAAAAATGGATGGGGATCAAAACCAAAAGAAAAGGTAATAAAAGATCATGATGGCAAGGCAAGGCGGGGGCAATGCCAAAAATTTCCCCCAAAGTGCTTTCTCGCTCTAGTAAAACTTTTTGCCCTTTAAGTAGCATGCTCGAGTGCATAGGAGAATGTTGCTCAAAATTTAAGCTTCAAAAGTATATATGTTTATATACATATTTTAAACTATCAGTATATAAAGAGTTGTCCATGCGTTTAATGTATGTAAATTATTTTTCTTTTAATATAAGAATAATGCCTTAGGGACCCAAAAACATGGGACAGGTGAGGTGTCGGCTCCCTGTCCCATGATACAGTGTTTTATGAATAGTGCATCATTGGACAGGGAGCCGACACCTCACCTGTCCCATTTAGGGTCCCATGTTTTTGGGTCCCTATAGCACTATTATTATCAGATAACCCCGGGGTGGATATCTATAACATTTGATGATTATCAGTTTACCCCCACAAATTTCAAAATATCACAAAACTCCCTTAAGTTTAGGGGTACCAAAATACCCCATTCAACTTTCAATGCTATCCACAAAAGTTTTCCCTGTGCAACTTTACTCACCAATGTGGAAATTGCTCATTACACCATTAGGGGGGTTTTATGAAATATGTTGAAAGTTGAAGGGGGTTTTCTAATAACACCTAAACTTTAGGGGGTTTTCTCATATTTTAAAAGTATGGGGGTTATATAGTAAGCAAGGACATTTACATCATACCCCTCTCATATGTCTTTCTTTGTCATCACTAAAGAGCATTTATATTTCTCTTCAAGAAGCCTATAAAACAGGCTCTACAGCTCAGCTAATTGATTTGGTTAAGATCATTGAGGGGGCACTGATTAATCCTTGATTAGTTATCATTAGTTACGATACAATGTGCAAACGTCCCAATTCTCCCACTGCCACGGGGGAGGCGGCGCAGAATATCAGAAGAACAAGGCTCTACATTGAAATTGACAGAGCAAGCATTTCTCTTTTTTATTTTTATTTTTCCTCCTCACTTTGAAGCTTCCTATATCTCCTCTTGTTCTAAGCTACCTGCTAGCTACAACACTGTACATTAGGAAGATGACTGTCATACTGTAATCAAGTGATGGGGTTTCTTGGAGATTGTTGAATTACAAAATGATCAACAATTCTCACAGAATTGACAGGGTCGGGAGAATTAGAGGCCCTCCATTTACTTGGAAATCTCCTGAGATAGCTTGGTCGAAGTGGCTGTTTCGGTTCCGCATCCCATTGAGGATCTAGCTTCCAGTCTTTAGGAACCTAAACCAACAAAAATTCTTCATGAGAAAAATGTGCCTCGATCGAAAATTAATCGGTTACTTAATTAAAGCTTGAATACAAATTCTGAACGCAAGTTTTCATGTTTGACGAAGATATTGGAGCGATCCTATACAGTTTACTATTTGCTCAAGGATTTTCAACTGTTGGAACCAAAGACTGAGAAAATCAGAGCAAAGTTTTATCACATATAATCGCCATAATTTTATGCTTTAAAAAATAAAAGTTCAAATTTTTGAATCCAATAGTGAAGCTACTACCTTATCGACTGCAAGGGTGAAAACTTCCAGGTCACCACTGTTAGTGATATGAAATCGGGTGAAGGACTTGTAATTTGCAATGCGAAGAGAGGAGAAAGCTTCGTCGAAGTGAATATGGAACCAATTGATGCAGATGTACAAATAGCTCCCGAATACCAGAGATACAACAGGAGTAGACAAAACCCAGAAATAAAGGAACAGAGATGCGTAATATATAATGGCTGCTCCTCGAGATAAAGACTCCATTCCTTTCTTGCAAATATTGCGTCTATTACCACCCGCGGGTGGGACTCATGGTCAGCAGCTCTCCATGGGGGAGTGTATCTCTCCAGGCTATTGCCCGTTGTTGGTCAGGAGTTCGAATCCTCGTAGCCGCATTCACCTGGTTTCCCTTGGTTTAAGGGTGGGGACGAAAACCCGGGGTTTTATTGGTCACCAAATCCAGCTCAGCCCGTTGTATGCTCACTAGTTCGCGTCCCAGTGATCCCCACGCTGCTCGCCCGCGCTCTGCCCGTGGGGATGAGCCCCTGGTATTAAGGGTAGCTCCTTGTAGGTGTGAAGGGAACAAGGGGAATCGAACCAGGGCCGCTGGCGGAGCTCCGAAGGAGTTAAAACTGAACTGGGGTGACCAAGTTTCCCTTGTCATCAAAAAAAATATATATATATATATATTGCGTCTATTAACCGCCATAACCTTTTGAAGCAAATATAACATCATTTAATAGAATCTGGGGAAATAAATATTTGGAGAAGGTATAAAATAGGTGATACCTCTGGGACATCAAAAGTTGACGTAAGATACTTTACACATGCAGGATAGAGCCCAAACGTCAATTGTTCTATGCGAGCTCAAAGACCAGTGGGATCTGGGAAGTGCTCATTTTCGATAGACCGATACCACTCATAAAGGGTGTGAGAACCTGAAATAGTCGCAATCATCATCAGCTCTGTTGTCTGCATAAGGTATCTCAGTCCGAGAAATCCAAGTTAAGAAAAAATGAAAATTGAAATAGAAGATGCTATACTAAATCTGCCAACCAAATTTCATAATCACAGCCTTACTAAGCACAACATTGATGATATAATATAATAATCACAAAGCCATTGTCAGTAATATCAATCTTTTCCTCCAATCAACTCGGCTACTGATTATTTTCTATGTTGAAACTAACTTCAGAATTATTTTTATAGAAATCCAATTAAGTCTTATGATGGCTATATGACACCATTCAAAGGTTGCTATCAGTCAATCTTATATGCATATCTTATATATTGAAGATTATAAAGACCCTATGAAAGAAAGCACACCTGAAGTTGCTAGTAGACGATTGCGTATACACATATCAATAGCCAATTCCAACAGCAGCATTAGTATCAGTGCAGCAGCCATATGTGCAGAAACATGAAGAATACCAAGCATAGCTCGCCTTTCCCGTGACAATTTTCGTAGGCACAAACGAATATGAACATAGAATCAGCATTAGAAATCCTATGAAAGATATGTAGAGTGTTCTATCATGAACATAATAGCACTCCGCATTGTACTAAAGAAGCTCTTCAAGCGGCCAGACCAAGATTCATCAATCAAGATGTTGAAAACATTACACTGAGAGTGAAATATTAAATGTCAGTCCTCAACCAAGCCGGGGGGTAAAAAATCTAAACTTGAATGGACTTAAATACTAATATATAATTTTTATTTTACTGATGATGTAACATCTGCAGAAAGAACATAATTAATCCTTGTAGTTAATAAGAAAAATATTTATATCATCTCTCTCAAAAAACTGTGCTAGATTCAAACTCTTATAAATTGAATTCTGTTCCTATATCTCGATGAGCATTTCAGATTTGAAGCCACAGCTCATAGCCAACCCCACTTAAATAGGGAGCAAAAAAAAGAATAGATGATGAATTGATAATTCTTGTGGGAGAATTGATTCGGCTAGCAATATGCTTAATTCCCATCATTGAGCTGCATATCATTTTTAATGCAACTTAGATTTTATTCAAGTTAATAAAGGCATCAAACATTCAAGAGAACCCAGTACCTGGAAGAATATTACCCAGTGCAATCTGGAAGAATAATCCACGGTAAAAAGAATTAGGTAAATGCCAACATTGGTCTTCTAAGATTTTCTCAATTGGAAGGAGAATTAACAAAGTGGAGCTTACTCTACTAGAATCATCAAAAGATGGATAAGTAACTTCGCTCTTGTAAGAATTTTCACAGAATGTGTTGAAATGTTTGAAGATATGTGTAGGATGAAGGAAGGCCCCACCGCAACCATTTACAAGTAAATGCTGGACATGAACAGGCTTATCTGAGTTAACACAAGAATGCTGCATGTAGTACGGTTCTAATCTCCAGCCATACGAAGCTTACATCTGCCTTTCAAGTAGTCACGAATTATGTGTGATACATTTATCCCACTATTACTATTCCAGTACCAATCAAGAAGCTAATTAGGCTCATGTGTCATGATGATGACCGAGTCATTTTCGCCAACCTGAAAAACTTTTCCAAATCTCGAGTAAACAACTAATATCCATTTTAATGTCCTTTTTTGCAATTTAAGGAACTTGATACTGTGTCTGGATTGAGGGGTGCGCTCCCCTTACATTTGGAAGACTGAAGTAAAACATCATGGAATGATTTGCAACCAAAAAAAAAAAAAAAT